CCATAACGGCGGGGCCCGAAAATGATCCGTTGCCTTCCTAAAGTGACATTAGTTTCCATGACATCCAATTATGTTCAGAATGCGTTAGTGGCCAGGCTTATAAGAAGGGTGTCTTCGTATAGGCAAAAACCGATCCACTTGACCACAATATCTCAAAGTGAATTTCTAACAGAATTATGCTTTCATTGATATTGTATTTTCGTCCACTTGCATTCAAAAACCAGGAGGCTCACACATTCCTCAATAACTGGACGGCACTAACAGATTGGTTAAAAGAACAATTGACCTGTTTGGAGGAAAGCAGTGCTCATATCGCTACACGCCCCGACAAGGTTGCGCACCAGTTGGCCCAGCATCGAGAATTTCAGCGCGCGTTAGGCTCACGAAACATCGCGTTTGATGCGATCCGACGTTACGCACGACATATGCGCGATCGTGCACCAGCGTGTGACCACGCGGAATTGGATGATATGATCAGTGAGTTGAAGCATCTCTGGCATGAAGTGTGTTCTAAAGCATTGGATCGGCAACGGATGTTGGAACAAGCACTCCTATCAGCCGGTCTCTACAAAGAAGCGATCGAGGCATTGGGTGATTGGTTGACTCGTGTGGAACCGCAATTGAGTGATCATCAGCTGGGAATCTACGGGGATATGGAAACGGTTGAGGTAAGTTCTGTTGAATCCCTTGTTTTTTTTATTTTTGATCATTCTGTTGCACTTTTCTATTGCTTTCATTTGAATAAAAGGGTTACCAGGTGATTTGTACCGGGGATCACGAGTGGTTTTCTTTCTGTATATTGGGTCGTTTGTAGATGATTTCGAGAAAACGCTGATTTTACTAATATTCTTTTAATTTAATGAGGGGCAGAATCAGACACCTAATTCCTCTCCCATGTCCTCTAATACGCAATATCTCGGAATAAACCATATCTGAGTAACAGTCTATTTTTAAGCTTCGTCCTTTTTGGTTGGCGTTCCTACAAAAGGAGACTTTCATCATATATGAATTATTTTGGCCCATCTTTTCATTGTGTGTATTCGTCGAAACTTGATGCATGCACTCCAATCATCAATTAGGAGAGCGATTAGGATTACCAGCCAAAACCCTAAGTTGTGAAACGAACCTGACTGCAATCCAATGGGTAAGAAAAAGTGAAGGTTCATCCACTTGGACCGGTTATTCCTTTTTATTCTTACCGTCTGAGATGTCAACTTGAATCGAACCCTTTACGTAGAGACCAGAAAACCGAAACTTGTGTGACTGCCCTCCAATCTTTCAATCATGAAAATGCCTCTGGATTGATGAATTTCGTATTAGGTTGTTTGGTGGATCACAAAGGTGCAGAAACTATCAGACCACATCAATGTGCAGTATCCTCGTGATGCTACAGTCATATCTTTGCAGTTGTCGATGAAGCGAGCTTATATCAAAGAGGTTAACCTTTTCAATTCCGTTTCCCGCAATATAGCAATTAATGGATGTGCACAAGCACTTCACTGCTGAACTAAAGCAACGGGCTACATGGATTCACTCAGTTCGTGAAGCAGCTCAGGAGCTTATTGCCAAGGCGGGCAAACAAACTTCTGAGGTCACCACGATCCAGACGCAGTTGCAACATGTAAACACTTTGTGGGATCGAGTTCAAGAATTGGCTAAGAATCGGAGTGAACGGTTAGAGGAGGCACTCAAATTGGTAAGTCATTTCAATTTTATTCCAGTTAAAATGTTCATGATACTTACTCTTCAAATCACTCACCAATGCTTTAAAACTAATATCATAGTTACATGAGATGTGATCTCGCTTCCAAATGAACATTGCTGATATTCTTTTATTGGCTAAGGAGATTTATAATAATAGATTAATTGTTTTATCTAACAGGCAGTACAATTCCAAGAGATGTGTCGCAGCTTGATGGACTATTTTGCTGGGGCTGAACATGTCATTCGTCGCCTGGCAGCTCTGCCCACCTACGATGACATAGGTGACTCGCCATCCTCCGAGCGTAAGTCGACCAAATCCGTCAGCAGCTCGGCTCCAGTCACCCTTACGGATGCGATTGAAGCACATCAACGCACGCACTCCAATTTGATGGAACAAGCAGATCGTCTGGAAGCGGCGTTGCGTCTTGGCAATCAGTTGCTCACACAAGCTCATCCGGAAGCTGTGCCTCGACTTCGTCAATGGATTCACACAATTCAAACACGGTGGACGGATGTGAGTATCGCTCTTGCTGTGTTTGATGTGCATGGCTGTTATTAAACTAAATTGAATGCTGTTAGTCATTTCCAAATGACCTCCGCAGTACTGTTTCTTCTTTTGCGTGATGCTTCTATGTGCATTTTAATTCTCCCTTGAGGTTTGTGGCACTTGGTGATTTCCGAGCAAGTACAAGAATCTACTCCTATGGCGTAGGAATAGAACCTTACACTTGGAAACACTGAATTCAAAGTCGTTCTCCCTAAACCATTGACAAGCTGTGTTTAGTCTTTCTTTAAAGTGATGGCGAGCTCTCGGGTTCTGTTACTGTGTTCCAGATTTTGGCGTCGCCTGCAAACAGTATTGTTTTTGGCCCTAGGAAGTTCATTTATGAATGCGGGTAAAAGTCGGATACCGAGTACGTACCATCGTAGCGTTGATAGAGCCGGATACCTGTTCCGTTTTCGGCGGAATGCTCTAATCCAGTCAAGCACGCAACATCCAATACCGTAATTGTAGAGGTTCTGTAAAAATAATTTGGTGGTTTACCCGATCAACCGCATCCCGTTCGTCGATTGTTCTGGTCCATTCATCTCAAAAAGGAAGCCAGTTGATGGGACAGGAGAGCTTTTGCTTGAACCTATGTTGAGCCATCGAAAGAATGTAATATATTTCCAAGTGTTCCATCAGGGAATCTGTCACAATTGACTCCATGACTTTCGATAACACGGATGGTAGGGTTAAAGTTTGGTAGTTAACGCGGTCACTATGACAACCACCTTTGTATATGGGTGAAATAACTCCTTTTTGCCACGATTATGGGATTGTTGTTTGGTCGAACATCCGTTGGAATAGAATGGCTAGTGGTTCGAGTATGTGATTCTCCAAAAAGAGAAGGGATTTCGGGTGTATATTATCCGCACCAGGGGATTACATTTTTTCGCAAAGCCATTTGTTTTGTTTTGACGTTTTCAGCAGTAAATGTTACGTTGGTCCGATAAGGATATGGAAGAAAAGCTGTAGACCTTTAACGTGTTGTCCAGCTAAAACTTTGGAATAATGAGTTTTCGGCATTTCAGCTGCTCCCGTTGGAATGACTATAACTCACCCAGTGCAGCTTGGTGCCGGTATAAGAAACTTAAATTTCTGAGTGGTATATTGGTTTACTTCAAACAGAGTCACAAATATCCGTCAAGCTGATCCCCACTTTGTTTATCAAAAATGTTTTTCGATGAATTTGGCATCGTAAATGCTTTTGGTTTACGGATGGTATCTGTCCGACATCGTTGTGTTCGTGAAAGCTAAATCGGACAGAAAAATTTTTAAGTCAAAATAGGTATTGTTTTACATTTGTCCTCGGATTGATTGGGTTAGTTTTTTGAGTAAATATGTTTTCAAACGATGTTCTGTTTTCAAAAAACAGTTGACCACTTGGTCTAGTCAACGTGGAGACCGCCTACGTCTCGCTCTAGAGGAACAGCAAAAACGACGCACCATTCAACAGCAGCTGCTGGAGTGGCTGGCTAATACGCAAAGCAAACTCGACCGCGAACCCGCAATCGCTGTGGAGGATATTTTAGATGGCAGTAGTGTAATATCATCTGGTGTCGATCTGGAGTCCCAAGGTCTTCGCGACGCAGACATTTTGGCATCCCATACGAACGGTGATCATCCGATCGCGCCAGGTGCCGCAACTTCGAGCATTGGAGAATCGCTCGCTCCCTCTTCTTATCGCACTTTGTCATTGCATGAGATCACCGAACCCGAGCTAATCGAAAGGCTGCTTGCGGAACACGCTGAGTTGGAAAAGGAATTCGAAGCTCGAAAACCGGATTACGATGCTGTCCTCAAACACTCCAAACGTCGTCAAGTTTCAAAGCTTCCCACACCAGTTATTTCCGGTACTGCAGGTTCTAATAAAGCCGGTCGTGGTGGTGCAGTTCCATTCCGCACTGGTTTACCTCGAAGCACACCGGGACGTGGTCAATTGCGCCCGGAAACCGCAATAGCACAATCAGAAAATCCGTTTATTTCGTCGTCTGTAAATGAGTTGTATGGTAGATGGAACACGGCTGAACGTGCCCTACAAGCACGGCGAAACCGATTACAAGAGCGTTTGGTCTATCTGTCAGAAGTTGAAAAAATGAAAGATTTTGATTTTGAAGAATGGCGCCGACGTTACGTCGCTTGGCTGAATGCAAACAAAGCTCGTGTGATCGACTTATTCCGTCGCAAAGATCACGATCGAGATGGTCGCCTTACACGAGCCGAATTCATCGATGGCATTTTAGAAATGAGTAAGTCTCTTGTGCGTCTATACAAGATTGATAAATACTCTGTTTTTTTTCATGTATAGTATGATGTTGTGCGTATCAACTTTTCTGTCAATGAAGTGTCCCCTTGGACGACAGACGGGTCGTTTCGACCACGGATCTTTTTTAAAGAAGTTGAATTTTTATCTGCTTTTAGAATGTATTAAGTTCTCTTTGAATTATCCCCAGCAGCACACTGATACGGCCGTGCAGCTTTCGAGATAATGATACTGACGATGTTGGTAGACATTTATAACTCGTCCAACGTGACGGCTGGTTAGGAAACTTTCGAGATTGAATCATTTCTGAAAGATTCGATCTAGGATTCAGACAAAGTTAAACAAACTCTAATGTTCCACCATAAAGCTCGTGAGTAGCCTCGCGATCGTACATTGTTGTGTTTCTCTCCCAATTCAGCCATCTGAACCTCTTGCATTAAAATTGGACTTAACAACTGGTGTCGCACAATTTTGTGTGTGTGTGCCATTCTATCCTAACGGTAAACTAATTTTAGCGGTCACCTTGATTGGATCTTGTTCGGTTTCGCTGATCGGTTATGTCGCGCTTGTGATGACGTTTTCACTTACACGAAGCTTTTTGCTCTTTTTGGTTGTGTAGCTTTGAAAACGTTGGTCGTACAGATGCTTGTGTAGCACTATAAAAAGCTGTTTTATAAAATCAACTACTGGCATTAACTTTTAAATAACTTCAAATTTTTAACTGAAGTGTTACTAATCCTCGTATATTCAATCCAAACACCGTGTTAGTATCTTCTTAGTGACCCCGAACTATGGAAAAACGAATCGGCAGATCGAAATGTCACGGTCACTCGTGAATGAGATCGCATAGCCAATGAATTATATTAGAACGACATCACTCTCATTTCTATATCCGTCTACTCACAGACGAGCGAAGTCAGCGCAGTAAGTCACGGTTTGTTTTTCATATGCATACGCCCCTACACACACCTCTTCAGCCCGGCACCATGGGTCACCCGGTTTGCTCACATGTCGCTTTTGCTCCGCAGCATCAGCACGCACGATTTTCTGCTGTCTGTCAACCGGACGGTCTGTTTCCCTGACTGATTGTTCGTGTGCTCTTTTTTCCATTTCTCTGTCTGCCTGTTGATCTAGTTTGATTTGTACGCCTGAACTCTACATGAACATCTTTTCGTATAAGTTTTCTAAGCCTGTTCCAATTTTCTCTGTGCAGTGAGTTTGGCCCTTTTGAAGCAGGATATTTCACCCACCTGTGTTGCTTAGTGTCATCTTGCGGAATTAGTGTTTGTTGAATGGCTTTTAGCGCATGCCCCCTTCCTCCGCGCCTTTCCCGGTGTTTGCTCCATCCCAGCTAAAATGGTGACGGGATTTTGTGCAAATGTAGGCCGTATAGTTCATTCCGCCTATGTGCTCAACCTAGTTTTTGTCGGCATTCCAATCGAGTATTTCTTTTCTTTTGATTGATCAAACAGTCCGATTTGTCAATGACTTCCAAAATGCTTACGTGGAAAATTTATATTTTATGGTTGCCAACATTCTTCATTGTGGTTCCACATGCATCAATTCTAGCATTGTGTTCTGTCTGTCCGTTGCTACTCACTTACATCATTCTCTTGTAAGCTGTATTATCCACACACGGGAATTGTGAGGTGATTTAATGTCACATCATTGTTCTTCTCCACTGGCTCTATCAGTCGACTGATTCTGAAGCTTTCAAATGAGGAATGACTCCCCCTCCCTGTACTTTGCAGTCGCCCGTGCTGTCACTCCGCTTTAGTGATATAAGATCCCCATGGTATGCAGACTTTATTTTTGCATCTTTAAAGCTTCACCAAATGCCTCAATTTTTGCCTGATTGTTTTTTAACATGCATTGCGTTCCTGTTTTATCTCATTCAACCAGAATTTCGAACTAATCGCGTTGAACTGGAAGTGGTGGCGGACATTTTCGATGCAAATCACGACGGCTACGTAGACTATCGCGAATGTCTGAACGCGTTGCGCGCTGGATACGTTGCCGCCCAAGCAGCACCTCAATTCTCCGTGTACGGCGCGCACAGTAGTTCGCTTAGTTTGAATCAGAATGGACCGAACGACGATGAAGCAATCAGTGATGAGGTTCGACGTCAAGTGGGTCTTTGTACCTGCCACAATACCTATCAGATCTGCAAAATGACAACGAATAAATATCGGGTAAGTATCATGCTGTGGCATTTTGTTCCCTTTCCAATCTACAATCACTCAATTGCTCCGGTTGAATGTGGACAATAAGTCCACAAGAATCCTGTCGATTACCTTTTTTAATGTTCACGATCTCGTAAGTACCATTCAATGTTTCCTAGTAACTTAACTGACCAATATAGCAGATTTGTTTTTTTCGGTTGTTCCCCTCACTAGGTGTATGGATCAGTAAATTTTATGTTGAACCGAATTTTCGTTTCTCTGTGTGCACTTTGTAATTGGATCTTTCTATTGATGATGGTATTCTTCCGTACAGTTTGGTGACTCACAAAAACTGCGTCTGGTCCGAATCTTGCGCAGTGCTGTTATGGTGCGCGTTGGTGGTGGATGGATCAGTTTGGACGAATTCCTGTCCAAGAATGACCCATGCCGAGGTGAGTGTGCCCACGAATTGTTCACCCGCATGCCCGTCGGTTTGACGAATCTATTTCCCTCACGGACCAACTTATCATCTGTGTACGGTGCTCAGTTTATCCTCACGTGGTTTAGTGATTCAGTCGAAGGCAGTTAAAACTGTCTATCTTTATGTGAAAGTTTTCTTGCTCAATTATGTTCTAATTACTTTGTTCGTTTCCCACAAAGTTGACAAAAAAACCCATAATGGTAAGTATGGTGAGCGATCACCTGTTTGCTGTTTCTTTTCGGCACCAGTAGAAGAAACACAGGGATGGAATTATTGACAAAACACTTTAATAGATAACCTCATCGTAACCGTCTATTGGAAATTCCGTTTATAGGTACAGTTATGCGACTAAAAATAATTCGGATAAAATCGCGTTCTCACAAATGGTGATCAACTCTCGATTTCGTATTCATGTTTATTTGTGATAAGTCCTGAGCACTTTTGATTAAAGCCCAACCGGTTTTAGTGAGTTACATCGACAATGTATAGATAGAACATAGTTGATGTAATTTGTTTATGTTGGACAGTGGGTTACTGCCCATCGCATCCATCTCATTTCTTCCGTTCAGTGTAGATTTGCTGTTCACGTTATTCGGTGTGTGCGTTTGGTGTGCCCTAGAGATTGTGTTATTTACCTTGCCTTTTATTGCTAATTAACCCTTTTAGTTTCTTTTCATTGCGCTTACTTCTTCTGACCGGTTTATACTCTCGAGTAAAACAGATACTTGATCCGTGTGTTTTTGTGTGTTCATCATGTTTTTTCTTGTTCTTCCTGTTTCCATTACCTTCTGATGTGCTTTTGTTGTCAGATGCTTGTCAGCGTCTGTCAAGTATCACTGATCTAGCCGCTGCTGTTGGTCTGGTACCCTCTTCAAGTCGCCGCAGAAGAGGCCGTGGGGCAAGTCGTGCAGGACACCAGCAGCAGCATCAGCACCTGCCACAACGCCATGTAGCGTCAACCGCTGTGCTGAATCCCCTTCGAAGTAGCGCTGATAGCAGTATCAGCTCGCATCACCCTGCTCAACCCAGTGGTTTGAGTACCCGGTATTTGCGCACCAGTGGTGGATCTAGGCTAAATCCCACATTACATCCGATCTCCGGTCCCGGACAAGATAACGCCTTCTACCTCGTCATGCCAGACACAAGGGCAAACCCCACGAACCACATTCACATGCCCGGTGCTCAGGATCGGACAGACCGACGTTCTTTTCCCAAGCACTAATCTGTTTCACAATACCTGTCCAATCCTCTCCTATTCCCTCCATCAACTCGATTCGCTAATCTATCCACCCAACTCTTAGCACGCCAAAATGTGGGCTTTCACACCCCTCCTAAATAGTTTTGTCTACTCTAATACCATTGCTGCTGATCCTGCCTCGACAATTCGAATGGCCATCCCAGTTATTGGAATCCCTACTACAAACACTACCATTTTCATCAAGATTCTCGTCGGTGGTTCCCGTCAGGTTTGTTTAGCCGGTCTGTACGTTATTCGTACAAAAGCATGTACCTCATCTTCTGTCTGTGGGTCTTGAGTCTTTTTCTCATGATCTGTTGATCTGTTCACTTGTATTCTTGGATCAACTATCTTCGTTGTTCGCCGATGCATGCTGTATCCACCCCGTCCGACGTGATTGCATGCGTATATGCATGCGTCTTATTCACCTCATATGATGCGGTATCCTGCAACGCATTGGTTCCTCATATATGCTGGAGCGCGCATGTGCNTACATCACATAGGTTGTTTACGTGGTCCTCCTCGTTGTGTTCGTGACGTGCATTTGGTGTTTGTTGTATTCTCTGAGTTTTTTCCATCATGTGGGTGTCGTTTCTGTTTGTTTCACTTCTCCCAGCTCCACTTTACTGTTGAGTAATGGAAAGGGAGATCTCGGTGAACTTAAATGCATAAATCACCGTTTTCTCTCTTCCGTTTTTCGCCTTAGCTGCCGACTGGAAGCCTATGTCCGAAGTCCGTGAGCGTTTTGCTCTGGCGGACAATGTATCTCAGTCAATGGCTACTTTCCGCAACAAACAACAGTCATCCCGTTCCAGTGGAACCCGAACCAACTCACGTGCAGGCAGTGTCACCTCAATACCTACTCCGCATACTCATGCTCATGCACATTGTACATCAGACCACTCAGCAACGACAACGGGTAATCGTCGTGGTTCCACTCTGTCACTTCCCCAACCGAGCCATATTGATCGTACCCGAATCCCATTTGATTCACGGAGTGTTTCCGGTGCAGACGACCAGTCCAAGCTACGAGCTCCAGAACAGTTCCAAGCGAAACCTTCGCCATCATCCTCACGGCCATCCTCTCGTACTGGTTCCACTATGCAAACTGGTCAGTATTCAACCCACCTAAATGCAAAAGCATAATGACGACTATCACTGTTAGTTCCGAATTCCATTTGGTAAAATACCAAAGAGGTTTTCTGTCCACTCATTTATTCAGTTCGATACTCTTAGTTTACCTGTTTTTTCTTTTCATTTCACTTTCTTTTTATTGAATATTGAAAGATACAATTTTCAGGAAGGGGGAAGCGGTCATTCAAAAGACTGCCATTTAACACACAATTGGGAAAGTTAGGTAGTGGTGGCATTCGAACACACATCCCCCGAGGTGATAATTTGGTGACGTTACCATCGGGCCACCGTACAACGTTTCAGTGTCTTTTTGAACAATTGATGTTCGTGTGCATCATGGATACATTTTAAGATGTTTTACTTCCAGGAAGTTCATCGAACATACACAATCAATTTTTAGGAAGAGTTTGCGATCAATCAAATGATGCTTGAGGAAACACAAGAATGTTCAATACTCGTGAAAAAATAGGGAATTTCTCTTCCCACCGAAATTAGTTACAATACCCTGTTTGTAACCTTTGGTAAAGAAATGCGTGTTGCTGGTTTTATCGAATCCGATTCACTTGGAAGTAACCATTAGTTAGGTGTGCACATACAGCTCTTGTGTTTCTCACTAACACCGAGAAACTATGCACTGTCGTGCGACGGTTCTGGTTACTGTTTTCAATTTTCTATATAATCGAACAGTCAGGAATGAGTAATTAGAATAAGTTAAGAGGCTGAGAGTATGATCGGAAATTGGAATACAGAAACGAAGTAGACTGAATCTTCGAATAAAATCAGTAGATGTACGTGCACCAATGTTTGCAACATCGAACCATATCACTCGTATATGATACTGTCGTGTGAATTTGGGGGAGGAGTGACGTTCATTCTTCCACTAAATTAAAATAGAAGAAACTCGAATGCAAGCAGGATGAAGTTCTGCATCCTTAAGGGGTGGCATTGAAGTATAAATGAGGCTTGACCCTTCTGGCGATGAACTTTTCTGAATTCAGCCTTTTTCATTTGGGCAGGTGACAGTACTTATGGCCTGTGGTCTAGTAGTAAGACAAGATTAGCATATTGAGCCATTTGTGTTTATGGACCCAAGCCTCGGGAATCATGTTGACAATAGGTTTTCCTGTTCTCTCCAACCTGTACCGGACGATCTGACTGACAGTGTATTTGTGTTAGTAGGGTCGAATTGTAAAATGTTGTTACAGCATTGAGTTGACTAAAATACGAATCTCACCAAGCAACTCAACAAGTTTGAATGTTTCTACTCGAGTTGTTACCACGTTCCCTTGGACCAATTGCGATCGCACCTATCGAATTGGCTTTCGGCGCTCGTTCATTCGATGCTTATGTAGCAGCATGGCAACATTCATCTGTGTGTAGTTGGTTTGGATTATTGGATGCTGTCGTAGCATCTACTCTACCGTGTCGCCTAACGATAATTGTTGCTCTTAGATGATGAACGTAAGAAATAAGTGTTCTGGTTCCCTCGTCTGCATCGCAATGCACGAGTTTGGTGGTATGGGCAAATAAGTTGTGTCCAAATAATGGTGATCACGAGTTTGAGTGCGTGCTTTCTATGGACTGAGATGATTCAGACATGTGTCGCATAAGTATATCATTGAGTAGGATTCCTCTGTGTGCTAGGTTTTCTGAGACAGGCAATGTTTGGAAGGAGGTGAATGGCATTTAGACCATGACCTACCTTGAGAACCTCGACCGGTGGACGTGTACGCCGTTTTTGTCTTCCGATTGGGATCCTTGTGACCAGCCCAATCAAGGGCTGCATAATTGGGTGATATGTTTAAGTAAGGTAAAAAGCGACTCTCGTGCATCTGTTCACTTGCGCTACGAATCTTGTGTATCCTTGTCTTGGATATACTCTCTCAACCATTTGTTGTCTTTTGTTTCAAAAGATATTAACCAAAAGCACAAAATTGAGGATATATATATATATAATGTCACAGACCTCTCAGTTCAGACTGTATGCCAGAAAAATACCAGTACCAGAAAAAGGGTCCCATGATTTGCTTGTGAGTTCAATACTGCCAGGTTGCGCAGACCAAGGTGGATGAATTCTCTTGAGGAATTCACACCTGGAGTCTTTGACTGGCTAAAACGTGACCCGCAAGGTAACCGAGTGGTTCAGCTAATTACTGCACAATCTTTTAGTGGAGGTGATAAGCATTCGCTTTTTCGCACCTTACCTATGCGCACAAAAGCGACTGGTTCCAGTCCTCCACTTACCTTGGCCCCAAATCTAACATCAGCATCACCACCACCTTCCACACTCCAATCACAATCGATCTCACCTTAAAACGGACACAGGGCTTACCCCACCCCAGCCCTCTTCCCATCCCGAATGACCTTTCGACCCAGCATGAAAATGTGCTCCACTAACAACAATCCCTTATATGATCTGTATAGGCACGAACATATATCATGCGAAAACAATTGTTCGCCTTCGGATTTGTGTTCTAATTTTGTAACAGTGTGATTCTGAATTAAGTATGACCAGTTAGACATCATTCTCGTTTGTTTAACCACTGTTATGCACCTGGTCTGTTTGGTGATTAACTTGCTGTAATTCAGTCACCTGTGTTGACAATCTGCACCGTATTCTTTGTTCACGTTTTGACAAATAGCATCTCTTGTAATGCTAGGCAAACAATCTTTACAGGTTTGTTCTGTTTCAACAATGATTTCCCTGGTTGACGTGGTTGACGTGGTGTTCTTTTGGTGTCGACGTGAAGGATTTTCTCGTTAGAAGCCGTTCATCTCTTGAGTATGCGTTCCCTTTGGATATCTGCCGAAAAGAAAACTCATCTTCTGATCTGGTTATCATAGTCAGTCTGTATGGCTTCTGTCTGTTTTTCTACAGTTGAATCGTGTCTTAGTTCTCTACTATCAGTTCACTGGTTTTGGTACTACTGAATTCTGAATTCCGCGGTTACAAGTCGACCGATTTCCGTCCGATAATTTGCTCTGATATCCGTGTTTTGCATTCGTTTGCAGGTATCCCTAAGCCTAAACCTTATCCAAGTGCCCAAACTTCCAGTCGTCCATCTAGCCGACAATCCAGTCATTCGGATCTCTCTGGAATTGCAAAACCTCCCGTTGGATCTACTGCATCATTACGAGAGCCTTCCCAATCGAACATGGGTCATTCTAATCTCCGTCGTCCGACGCGTCCTGATCAAAGACCCACCTCGATTCGACATGGCTCACTCGGGTCAATTCCTCAAAAACCGTCAGAAACCCCTGACAGAGAACCCTCCGTTTCAGTCACACCTTCTCCTCAAAGTGTCCGACGCTCATCGGTTCCTGCTGCATCAACACCTGTAGAGGAGAATGATGAAAACAGTCACAGTGAAATCAGCAGCTCTAGAACGAACAACTAAGTTGAACAAGGCTGTCGATGAGACTTTCCGCAGCCCACTAGGTCCATCACGCACTCAGCGTTTCACTTTCGCCTTATTTGTCATCTTGTTCACTTATCTGGAAGCAATCTTTTCCCCGTCCGTGATGTGCCATTCATCAATCATTCTTGCCCTTACTCTCATTCTTGCTCTTACTCCTAACTAATATCCAAAAAAGAGATCTGAATTTATCTTCGGTTTTCCATTTTTTGTTTTGTTTATTTGTGGAGGTTGAAGGGCCTCTTGTTTTGTTCTTTGGTTTCACTTTTATATCTATATTCTACTTTCCTGTTCTACCTGTCTCCCTCAAATCTTCCAACTCCGCATCCAGCACGCACATATTCACGCTCCGTTGTTTGTGCTTTCCTCGGGTCTCGCAGTTCCGAACCATTTTTGTGTTCAGCTCATCGCTCTGTCAATTTTTTATACTCCAGAGCTAAATGCCTGGGTTGCACATTCGCACATTGAGTCCGATTGGCATTCGCTCTCATTGAAATACTATTAGTACAAAGAGCTTCCTAAACTTCCTCATGAACCAGATCTTCGGAATGGGTCTCGTTCATTGCGCCTGCTTTCATCCATCTCTATTACCCATTCACCTGCTAACTTTTGTGGTTCACTTGCCCCCTCCCTCTGCCCCGCCCGTTCTATCCTATTCACTCGTTCGCTCATCCATCCACTCATCTCCTGGGTTGTGGGCTCACTTTCTTTCATATGCACTATTCCTTTTCCCATGAACCTATTATATATTTGCGATCGTTTGTTTTGTTTGTCATTTTTCTACTTCCCCTCGACCTATTGTCCGGAGTCCGTTCCCCTGTCTCCCCACTCCGCCTTTCCCTCTGTTGCTCTCGTGGATTTCAT